ATTTCTCAAGCTGAAAATACTAAAGAAAAAATTCAAGCCTCGGATTGAAATAGTGAAAGATCTATGGGCAAAATATTGAATGATACAGAAACATCAAAAGAAGATGGAAGGAAGACATAGAGTCACTGCACCAAAAAGAATTGTTCGATCAATGTTCATCCTTTTCAGGAGGTGGCATATAATCAAGAACCGATGGTATCGATGGAAGAAGTTGAAGCTGCACAGAAGGAATTGGCAAACAAACAAGGCTCCAGGAATTGACAGACTACTCATTGAGATGTTTCAATAAACAGTTGCTGCACTGGAGGCATTTACTCATCTATGACAAGAAATATGGAGATAGCTACCTGGCCAACTGACTAGAAGAGATCCATATTTGTACCCACTCCAAAGAAGGATGATCCCACAGAATGTGTAAAGTATCAAACAATACCATTAATATCACATCCAAGTAAAATCTTACTGAAGATAATTTGAAAGTGGTCGCATAAGTATATTGACAGGGAACTTTTAGAAAAGCAAGCTGGATTCAGAAGAGGATGTGGAATAAGGGATATCTTTGCTGACATCAGATGGATCTTGGCTCAAAGCAAAAATTACCAGAAAGATGTTTACTTGTGTTTTATTGACCACAAAAGGCATCCAACTATGTGGATCATAACAAATTATGGATAACATTGAGAAGAATGGGAATTCCAGAACACTTGATTGTACTCATGAGGAACCTATACATAGGAAAGGAGACTGTCATTCCAACAGAACAAGGGGATACTGCATGGTTTCAAATCAGAAAGGAAGTCTGTCAGGGTTGTATCCTTTCACCTTATTTATTCAATCTGCACACTGAGCAAATAATCTGAGAAGTTGGACTATATGAATGTTCTGGTTACCTAGTACCACTCTAACAAAAATACCACAAATGGGATGGCTTGAACAAACAGGAGTTTATTCTCTCAGTCTGGAGGCTTTAAGTCCGAGTTCAAAGTATCAGGCTCTAGGGGCTGGGTGAAATCCTCTCAGCCTTGGGCTTCAGCTCTGCCTCCTGCTCCTGGCTCACTGAAGCTGGAGGCTTTTCTTCACTCAGCTGCTGGCTGCTGAGGCTGACAAGCCCAAGGTTGACAAGTAAACAGGCACAGTCCTGATGTAACCAAAGCACACGGCAAAACATTAATTTAAGTCCATTGAAAGTCCCAGGGTTGGCATAGCATGGCAGGTTGCCGAACAATGACACAGCTACATGCAGGGTTCAAGTGTGCCCTAAGCTAGAGACCATTCCCAAGGCTTCTCTTTATATACAGGAAGCAGACCACATCCCTAAGGCAGCTACTCAGCTGCTTGTGGTAGATCCCACTGTGGAATTGATTACCAGTCTCATCATGGGAAATAACTACCTCCAGCTGCCCAACCACTCAACAAGGCCCAGCCAAGCTGACACATAAACTTAACTACCACAATGAAGAAGAACACGGCACCAAGATTGAAGGAAGACTCATTAACAACCTGCAATATGCAGAGAATACAACCTTCCTTGCTGAAAGTGAAGATGTCTTGCAGCACTTACTGATGAAGACCAAAGGCTACAGTCTGCAGTATGGATTACACCTCAACATAAAGAAAATGAAAATCCTCACAACTGGACCTATAAGCAGCATCATGACAAATGGAGAAAAGACTGAAGTTGTCAAAGACTTCATATTACTATCTTCTACAATTAACATCCATGGAAGCAGCAGTCAAGACATCAGACGACGTACTACTAAAAAACCAAACCAAACTCACTACCACTGAGTTGATTCCGACTCATAGCGACCCCCATTGGGTTTCCGAGGCAATACGTTTTTAAGGAAGTAGATTGCCCCTTCTTCCTTCCACAGAGAAGCTGGTCGGTTTGAACTGCCAAATGCCTTAGGCACTACACCCCCAGAGCTCCTTAGATGACATAATGCACTGGGAAAATCTGCTGCAAAAGACCTCTTTAAAGTGCTGAACAGCAAAGATGTCTCGTTGAAGACTAAGGTGTGCCTAACCAAAGCCATGATATTTCCAATCGCCTGGTATGCATGTGAAAGCTGGACAATGAATAAGGAAGACCAAAGAAGAGTTGATGCCTTTGAGTTGTGGTATTGGTAAAGAATACTGAAAGCACCATGGACTGCCCAAAGAATTAACAAATCTGTCCTGGAGGAAGTGCAGGCAGAATGCTCCTTGGAAGTGTGAATGGCCAGATTTCACCTCACCTACTTCAATCATGTTGTCAGAAGGGGCCATTCCCTGGAGAAGGATATCATGCTTGGTAAAGTGCAGGGTAAGTGAAAAGGGAAAGACCCTCAACGAGATGGACTGACACAGTGGCTACAACGATGCACTCGAGTATAGCAAAGACTGTCAAACTGGCACAGGAGCAGGCAGTGTTTCATGCTATTGTGTTCAGGGTCGCTACGAATCAGAGCCAACTTGAAGGTACATAACAACAACAACATGGTAAAGTAAACACGGGACAAAGTTATGAAAACATCTTAACCATAACCAAACACCTTGAGGAAATACGTCACTGGGCCTAGGGGCTCAGGTCCATAGTCTCAGTGGACACTAAGGTCAACTGTATAACATAGTCTACAAAGACCATGATCTACATCCTACTTTGGGGTCTCAAAAGCTTCTGAGCACCCATCTAAGGTGCAACTATTGTTCTCTCCCTGTCCACAGCAAAGAAGAGTAAAAACAATCAAAGACACAGGAAACAATTAGTCCAAAGGACTGATGAACCCTATGAACCCCAGCATCCATGACCCTGAGACCAGAATAACTAGATGGTGCCTGGCTATCACTGCCAATCACTCTGAAAAGGATCACATTAGTAGACTCTCAATAGAGTGGGAGAAAAATGTGGGACAAAACTTAAAATCATAAAAAAAAAAAAAAATAGGCTTACTGGTCTGATAGAGACTGACAAAATCCCCAAGACTATGGCATTTAGTCACCCTCCAAGCCTGGAAGTGAACTCATCCCCAAGACTCAACTTTCAGCCAGTGACACACAGGCCTATAAGGTGAACAATAACAGTGAGGTATGGGCAACAATGAGGGATGTGCTCATTAGAACAATCAACCATACAAAATCAAAAGGCAGCATTTGCCCATGTATAAAGCTCAGAAGGCAGGCAGGAACAGCAAAGGAGGAGAAGGGAAATGGAAAACATAGGGAGGAAGCGGGAGGAGTGCTGTTATACAGTGGGGATGGAAATGAACGTCACAAAACAAAATGTGTATGAATTGTTGAATGGAAAACCAATTTGCTCTGTGAACTTTCACCCAAATCACAACATAGTAAAATGAATGAATTACATACCAAATACTGAATACAAGTATCTGAGAAAGGGCAGAACTAGGAAATTAAATAACCCCAAGCATGGGAATAAGTGGAAGAGAAAAATTCACAGAAGCAAAGAGTTTACTTGTTGTTGATTTTGTTTATGTTGTTGATTTGTGATTTAGGAGACCCCTTGTCTACTTAAGAGACACAGGAGAACTGCTCTCTAGGGTTTTCTTGTCCATAATCTTTGCAGAAACAGATTGTCCGTCCCTTCCTCCACAGCACCACTGGGTGGGTTTAGACCACCAACTTTTAGTTACCAGCTGAGCTCAAACCATTTGTGCTACCCAGGGATCTGAGGGAAAGTGAACACTAGGGATCAGGGACCAGAAATCCAATGCTGGAGGAAGAGGCAGGGGGGAGAGGTGGAGAAGCAGGCCTCCAAGATGTAGAAATCCAGTGAATAAGAATTGCTCACACCCTGCCCCTAGCCACACCCCCAGGTATAGCAAGGTCATTAATGGCCCCACTGAAGTAGGGCTCAGCAGCCCGCTCACAGCTGGAATAAATTTTAGAAATTTTATAAACTCAAACAATATCTAAAATCTGTGCTATAAATAACTGGGTATCTCCAGAAAAGGATCCCCCCAAAAGAGGTACTTACAAAGACACAACAGAACCATCATCCCAGGTCAGGGAGGCATGATAAGAACTCAACAAGCTAGGGGTTGTATACTTTCACAGAGTGAAAATAAGCAATGTGAACTACATACTTACATTGCTTTTAAATTTTTCAAACCATCTCATGTCTAATTTCATTTGATTGAAGGTCTTTACTTGTCAGACTGGTGCAGAGACCAGCTAGGGAATCACTCTTAAGGTGCAGGGCTTCGGTAGGTGGCAGGTGTTTCCCTGCCTGTTTCACTATAGGAGCCAGGCCCATTTGGCGGTAGCTAGGAGCTCTAGTGACTTTTGACTGCTAACCAGAAGTCTGGTGATTCAAACAACCAGCCACTCCTCGGAAGGAAGATGGGGCAATCTACTTCCTTAGTGATACTGCCTTGGAAACCCAAGGAGGGGTCTCCATAAGATGAAATCAACGGCAATGAGTTGTTTCGTTTTTTTTTTTTTTTTTTTGGTATAGAAGTTCTTTGAGAGTGCTCTGGTGGAACAGTGGTTTAAAGCATTTGGCTGCTAAGCAAAAGGTCTGAGGTACGAATCCACCAGCAGCTTCACTGGAGAAAAGCGAGAAAGTCTGCTTCCCTAAAGATTTATAACCATGGAAGCCCTATGTGGCAGTTCTACTTTGTCCTATAGGGTTGCTATGAGTCGGAATCCACTGATGGCAGTAGGTTTTCTTCCGGTGGGAAAACCTCAGCCTTTCTAACTGCCTGGAGGGGTGGTAAGGGGTGGAGCGATGGGAATGTCATGGTGGGAACCCCGGAGAAGTGCAACCACACATCTAAGGCTGGGAAACCACGGGCTCTGGGAAGGATGGGTCTAGGTTTGAACGGAAGAGCTCAAGAATGTATGGGGTCACGGCTGCGGAACGAGATAGAGCAGGGTCCACGTGAACCGGGGTGCTGGCAGGGTCGGCTACAGAGAAACCTCCCCCAACGGGTAGCAAAAAGGGGCGAGCTAAGACCCAGAGGTTCGGCGGGGGAAACGGACAGGTAGAGGCCCCTTACTCTCTAGATTTGTCCGATCCGTGCGCTGAGTTGATACGATGCACTTCTTTCTTTTTGGCTTGTTTGGAGGTCATGGCATAGGCCGATCCAGCAGGGCTAAACCCGCGCTCGCTTGGCGACCCCTAGCTCCGCGTCTGCGGTTGCCTGGAGACGGCTGCGCGCGCCTCCGAACAGCAAGGCGCCGGGGCGGCTCCGAGGGCTGCTCCTCGCTGGGCGGCGGCAGGCGGCTCCAGGGGCTGCTCCAGGGGCGGCTCCGGCTCCAGGCCGCTGCCAGAGCTGAGGCCGCGGGGGCGAGGGGGTGGCAGCGCGCAGAGCACCGGTCTCTGCATCCCGGGGAACCGAGGCAGGAAGTCTGGCCGCTGTGGTTCATGGGAGCTCTCCTGACTGACCGACTCTACTTACCCCTAGGAACCCTAGACATATATTGATTGACTCTATTGCCTAAGGCACTTGACTGCTAACCAGAAGGCTGGCGGTTCAAACCCACCAGTCACTCCTCGGAAGGCAGGTTGGGCAATCCTACTTTCGTAGTGATACTGCCTGGAAACCCAAGGAGGGGTCGCTATGAGTCGGGGCCGACTGGATGGCAAATAACAACACAACAACTATTGAGTTTTCAGATATTTGAAGAGGTGTATCATGCGAGTCTCACGCCTGGGGCTGAACTTGTTAAGTGTCATCAGTAATTTCTAATGAGACAATAGGAACACATTTGAATTTGCCAGAGCCTTGAAAACTGTGGGTCAGGAAATGAATACAGTGTGTGTGTAAGGGGATCCCTGCAGGAAATTATAGCATCCTTAGTCATTAAGGTTAGATAATGATGATATCTGGGATGAAACAAGTCGGATGTCTTGCTTGTTCATATGAAAGAATTAGTCCAAACCATGGAATCGAGCAGCCATCCGTAGACCCTCTAGGAAAGGCACTAGAGCCAGATGACCAGGTTTATCCAATCAAACGAAGACCTACTAAGGATGCTCAGTGCATCCTACTTGACATTTATTAATAATCTTAGGTGAGTAGGCTCTTCCTGTCAAGCCTCGGTTTACTCATGTATAAATAGGAAATGCTAACGCCTGACCATAGTTTTGTCGTAAGGACAAGTAAGATGCCATGTGTAGTGTTTAGTGCAATGAAAGCACAACAAATGGTGACCAGTGTTGCAGAGATAGCAGCTCAGATGCCTTCAAGGAAGAGGCAAGTATTAGCAATGATTGAAGCAGAGAGCTAGGCACACAGCAGTGGATCCAAAGGGGAACTGAGAAATGACTGCATCAGAAACAACAACAACGAAAGTTGCTGTGAAGTCTTTCTGGCTCATGGCAACCTCCTGCGGGTCAAGAGTAGAAGGAGTGGACCACTAGGCTTTTTTCATTTGAACCACCAAAAGGCGCTTAAGCCTTTGCCATGCAGGAATCAGAAAAAGTATTAAATTAATTAAAACAAAATATTTTGCTAGATCAATCAAAATCGCTTCAGAGAGATTTGACACAAAGGTCTGAAGTTTAAGACCCTCATTACTAGTTAGCCTTTCTGAGGAGTCTAGAAACAGCTAACCATTAGTATTTGACTGAATGATCCCTTCTGCTCTGGGCACATGGTCAGAGTCCCACTTTTTAAGAAGGAGCTTCTACAAAGCAAATCTTTTCATTGCTGTGACCAATGAACACACAGCCCTCTCAATGAGGCTGATCTGCCTGTCACTGGGGTTACATAGCAGATAATCAGGCAGCAATTTTGTTATATTTCTACATGTTAAATACCTTCAGAGCTAGGAGTGCTAGCTCGGCACATAACTCCACGTGTGTGCGGACATCAACATCCTGACAGCTCTGACTGATGTGCCCCAGGAATGAAACTTCCAGGGAGAACAGATGTTCTCCTGAAAGAAAGAAGATGACCACATTGTGAGAAAATATTATTTAGCCTCCAAATCTCATCAGAGTAATAAATGCATAGTCTTAAGTATATGCAAAACTATTAGGTAATGAAAGCCCAACTTTAAGTAGCTGACTGTGGACAAGTGAAATTAATTGCTGTCAATAAAATTTCCTATGGCTGTGGGACCCTGTCTGAAGCTTCCAGGGCTATGGTTTCAAGAAATGAGAAATGCTGCCCCCATCCCCACACCCAGTTCCAGTCATCTGAGACTCTTGATAATGAGTAGTGAAGTGGTTACAGAAGTTTGCTTCCCCATTTCCGCAAATCCCCAAGTAGCTCAAATAGTGAGAACCTGCCAGTTCTGTTTCTGCTGACACAGGGAAGTGAGTATTTCTAACCACTTCCCCATGGAGTAGGCACTTAATAAATCACATCTTTTGTTACTATTTCAAAACGACATTAGCCATGGTTACCCTCTGCATTTAAGAGTATGGATTTTTTTTTTAAAGACAGATGCAGGACTAGTTGTCCTTTCTACACTGGCACTTATAAATATCATCGCTTTCAGCCAACATCCATGTAACATCAACAATGATATCCCTCATTCCACATTCTTATCCGGCCTGAATTTCAGCAGCTCCTTGTGAATGTACTGCTGTGATAGTACATTTTGATTTGCTTTCAGCAAAATTTTACTTCTTTGTGATACTAATGATATTGTTCAGTAATTTCCACAGTCTGTTGGATCCCCCTTTTTTGGAATGATCATAATTATGGATCGCTTCCTGTTGGTTGACCAGGTAGCTGTACTCCAAATCTCTTGGGAAATTGAGGACTTCCAGTCATTACATCTGTTTGTTGAAACAGCTCAATTGGTATTCCGTTAATCCTTGGAACCTCACTTTTTTGGCCAATAACATCAGTGCAGCTTGGACTTCTTCTTTCGATACCCTCAGCTATTGATCAAATGCTACCTCCCAAAATGGTTGACTGTCAGCCAGTTCTTTTTGGTACAATGAGTTGGTGTTCCTTCCATCTTCTTTTTATTTATATTTTTTTTATTATGCTTTGGGTGAAGATTTACAGAGCAAATTCACTTTCCATACAGCAGTTCACATATACTTTGTCTCATGTCATTGACCACAGTTTACCACAATGCAACAGCTCCCCTC